GGGTGGCAGATACGGATCGGTTGGTAAGGTGGATGAGTCTGGCCGCTGAGTTCAGGATAGACTGAAGCGGGGATAGTCTGAGATGAGGTAAACCGGTGAGGAAGGAGATGCAGTAGTCGAGTCGTGAGATAATAACGGAGTGAATGAGTTGATTAGTAGTGTCAGGGGTTTAGGAACAAACGTATTTTGGAGATGTTGCAGAGGTGGAGCCTGCATGAATTTGCCAGCGATTGGACATGGGGTTGGAAGGACAGATAGGAGTCTAGAGTGACACCTAGGACTTTGGCTTGCGGGGTGGGACTGATGGTGGCATTATTGGTCGTGATGGAGAGGATGGGGGGGGGGGCGGGGCGGGGCTGGGGGGAAAACTAGGCGTTCGGTTTTGGAAAGGTTTAGTTTGAGGAAGTGGAGTGACATCCAGTCTAATATGTTGTTCAGTAGGCAGGTAATTCGGGTGGAGGAGACTGAAGGGGTGAGGCGAGGGGTAGAGGTAGATTTGCGTGTCATCGGCATAGAGGTGGTAGTTGAAGCCGTGGGAGTGTATCAGTTGGCAAAGGGAGGAGGTGTAGATGGAGAAGAGAAGGGGCCTGAGGACAGAGCCTTGAGGGACCCCAACAGAGAGGGGGAGAGAGAGGAGGAGGTGGCAGCGTTATAGGTTACACTGAAGGAGCGCTGGGATAGATAGGAGGAGAGCCAGGAGAGAGCGGAGTCTCTGATGCCAAGGGAGTATAGTTTTTTTTAAGGAGAAGGGGGTTGTCAACTGTGTCGAAGGCCACGGAGAGGTCGAGGAGTAGGAGGACTGAGTAGTGGCCATTAGCTTTGGCGGTTAGCAGGTCAAGGGGGCAGGTGGTGAGGCAGGCTTCTCAGAAGACCTTAGTGACCTCTTCAGTGGTAGCAAGACCGAGGGAGTGGAGTGTTGGGGGGGGGTTTTAGTGTGCGTGATGTTAGGTGTGGTGGGGGTCAGGGCAATTGCGAGGTCAGAGGAGGGCAGTGTTGAGGGGGTTATCGTGGGAGGGAGGCTAGGTGGGGTGGAATATTGAGCATTGCCGATGTCCTTACGAATTGCAACGATCTTGTTTTGGAAGTGGTTAGCAATCTCATGGGCAGTGAGTGAGGTACTGGGTGGAGGTGGGGGGGGGGGGAGAGTAGGGAGTTAAAGGTGGAGAAGAGCCGGCGAGGACTGGAGGAGAGGGTATTGATGAGGGTTGCGAAGTAGGCTTTTTTGGCAGCATGGAGGGAGGAGGTGCAGGTGAGGAAGGCTGATTTGTAAAGGGTGAACGCTTGAAGGGATCTGGTTTTGCGCCATAGTCGCTCCAGGGCACGACTGCGTCATTTAAGATTTTTGGTGTGGTTGTTCTGCCAGGGTTGAAGCGGTCGGGGTCTTGTGGTTAGGGGTGCTAAGGAGTCTAGGGCGGCTGACAGCGAGATCACTCAGTTATGTGATCACTCAGTTCCTGCACACTTTGCCAAATAAATGATCTATGCAAGAAGAAGGTAAGGTACAAAACTAATGTTGGCTGTGTATAGAGGGAGAAGCCCACTGACATTGCCTGCATTGAAAAAGCATGCAACTGCAGATGTGGGCAAGAGCAATCTCCCGGAGGGGGAGGGAAGGTGCAGGGTATGTAGTAATGAGAGCAACAGGTGAACTATTTCCTTGCAATGGTTTTTCCATCCCAAATGCCAAATTCCAGCATGGGTAATGGAGGAGTTTTCCATAGGAGACACTGGAGGCTGAGGTAACGCCTGTCCTAAAAGACAGAGAAAGATTTTTATTTTCTTCAATAGAGTACATCAATGGTATATTGGTACACAGGGAAGCTGGAATTTAGAAAAAAATAAGTGAACTTTACTCCTGCAGTGCCCCCCAACAAACACACACATACACAGCCACACACACACTTCAAGGGTCAAGTATCCCTTTAGTCTAGCAGTGCAGGGATAAAGTATATTACTTTCCCCACTGGTGCAGAAGGCTCCAACACTGTTTTTTTTCCTAAATGTGGGCATGCCCTCAACGTCATCATGTACAATACATTGTATGTGGAGTGCACAGTGTACAGTGCTGCCATATTGGGTTTACAATGGGAGCATAGTAATGTAATGAGTGACATTACAGCACTTCTATCGGGTTGAGGTCAGGACTCTATGCAGACCAGTCAAGTTTCTCCACCCCAAGCTCGCTCATCCATGTCTTTATGGAGCTTGCTTTGTGCGCTGGTGCGCAGTCATGTTGGAACAGGAAGGGGCCATCTCCAAACTGTTCCAAGAAAGTTGGGAGCATGAAATTGTCCAAAATGTTTTTTTTCACTGGAACAAAGAGGCCAAGCCCAACCCCTGAAAAACAACCCCACACCATAATCCCCTACACCAAACTTTACACTTGGCACAATGCAGTCAGGCAAATACCATTCTCCTGGCAACCGCCAAACCTGCAAAAAAAATGTTTTTTTGTTTTTTTTAAGGTGACTTATCCTTTAAGTGTTTTTGTACCTTTTCTTGTGCATGACAGTCTGAATTACATGTGCTCAGCAGTAAACCGTGCCTCAAAAATATTGTATATTGTTGACAATTGTATGTAAACAGTAGTGAGTAAGCACACATCTCTTGCATAGTGTGTGGCAGTTATTATTTTTTGCCTACATGATTCTGAGTGATACATGAGTGATAAAACTTTAGTTAAAGAAGATGTGAGCACTCTTTCCAGTACAGACCCATATCATAATAAAAAAAACTACAAAGATCTCAGAGCCACATATTTTCCTGCTACTGCTCATATAATATTACCTAATCAGACTGCTGCTTGGTAAAAAAACTCAACAAAAGCAGGTTTGTGGATGACAGCGTACGTCTTCTCCGACAAGGTGAAAGTGTCTGATATTTTCTCCTTTAAACTGTTGTTCATGGTGAATGGATTAGGAGTCATTTCCAAGCAAGCTAGCTCACAGAGGAAATTTGTGCAACTTTCAGGGCTGGGCCTAACTAGAAAAAAAAAAAGAGAAAAAAAATTCAGGCTGCTCGCCAGCTTTCTGTTCTCAAATCAGGAAGTGAAAATAAGCAACAAAAAATTACGCAGCAGAAAGATGTTAGACCACTAAGGAAATGCAAGAAGCACCGTGTACTATCATTGTTTGCTCTTCATAAGGGTCTTGCTATTGATCGTTTACTGGATATTATTGATGTTTAACCCGAGCAGATGAACTTTGCAGCTTTTTATTCTATGAAGAACAACAAGTAGCTCGGAAGAAAGTGAAAGAGGAAATCTATTGCTGTGGGGGAGGTAAGTGTAACCTACATGATTTACGCTAGTGTGTTCAGTCTTTTTTTTTTAATGATCTCATTGCTGTGTCAGTATCATTGTTATTTTTTGTGTTTGTTACATTGTAAAACAAATTGGATGGTGTGCATGTGTTCATTCTTCCTGGAATAGGCTGGCTTAAGCATGGAGTTGCACTTCCCTCAGTTGATGTTAAGTGGAAAGTACAATGTCCATATTTACGGACGTAGTTCAGTAATGACTTCTGAGAACAAATACTTAATAAATATGGTTGTTTAACTACTTGAATCCTAGGTGCTGTTTTAAAAATGGATCAGGATTGTTCTAAATGGGGCTGGGTTAAGGGAGAGGATGGTTAGAAGGTATGTGGTTATTGTACCTGCATTTTTTACCAAAAAAAATGTTCATTAAAAAAACAACCTGGTTAACCTCTTCAACCAAGCACAAATGTGCAGCCTCCTACTATCTGGGCCTAGATGCTGAGCGGCCACACATTTGCTTTCTATTAAAAAAGAACATATGTGCTGAGAGCGTGCACCCTGAGCGCTCTCAGCACACATGTCCTGTACTCACGGAAAGGTCCCAGTCTCCTCTTTCGATCGGCACCTTTCCCGATCATGTGACCGCCGTGACGGCATGTCACGGCGGTCATATGACCCTAAACCCCGCCCCACCTCCCGGCTTCTGAGACCCATAAAGGGCCGGGAAGCGCTGGCATGAAGGGGTTCAAAAAAAAAAAGTACAGGATAGTGGCTATTTGTCCCAGGGCCTATTTAAAATGGCACCTGGACTCAGCAGCTCCTGCTGGCCTTTGCTGGCACTAATGCCAAACCACTGGCTGTCAGTGACAGCAGGGACCTAGTGCTAGGCCTAGGAAATGAAATTATTAGTGCCTGGGATTCCAATCTTACTACAGGTCGCTCCAAGCAGTTGATGAGAATTGTAAGCACAATGCAGAGTGCTGACATATTGTGTTTTACAATGGGAGCATAGTAATGTAATGAGTGACATTACAGCACTTCATATATATCTATATACTGTATATACACTATATTGCCAAAAGTGTTGGGATGCCTTCCTTTACATGCACATGAACTTTAATGGGATCCCAGTCTTAGTCTGTAGGGTTCAATATTGAGTTGGCCCACCCTTTGCAGCTATAATAGCTTCCCTGTTCTGGGAAGGCTGGCCACAAGGTTTAGGAGTGTGTCTATGGGAATGTTTGACCATTCTTCCAGAAACACATTTGTGAGGTCAGGCACTGATGTTGGACGTGAAGGCCTGGTTTGAGTCTCTGCTGTATTCATCCCAAAGGTGTCCTATTGGGTTGAGGTCAGGACTCTGTGCAAGCCAGTAAAGTTCTTCCACCCCAAACTCGCTCATCTATGTCTTTATGGATCTTGCTTTGTGCACTGGTGCAGTCATGATGGAACAGAAAGGGGCCATCCCCAAACTGTTCCCACAAAGTTAGGAGCATGAAATTGTCCAAAATGTTGTGGTATGCTGACACCTTAAGAGTTCCCTTCACTGGAACAAAGAGGCCAAGCCAAACCCTGAAAAACAACCCCATACCATAATCTCTATTCCACCAAACTTTACACTTGGCACAGTGTAGTCCCACAAGTACCATTCTCCTGGCAACCACCAAATCCAGACATGTCCACCAGATTGCCAGACAGAGAAGCGTGATTCATCACTCCAGAGAACACATCTCCACTACTCTAGAGACCACTGCATCCAACGCTTTGTATTGCACTTGGTGATGTAAGGCTTGGATGCAGCTGCTCAGCCATGGACACCCATTCCATGAAGCTCTGTACACACTGTTGTGCTAATCTGAAGGCCACATGAAGTGTGAAGGTCTTTCGCTATTGCAGACAGTTGGCGACTTCTGCTCACTGTGCACTTCAGCATGCACTGACCCCGCTCTGTCATTTCACGGGGCCTACCACTTGTGGCTGAGTTGCTGTTGTTCCCAGTTGCTTACATTTTGTTATAATACCACTAACAGTTGACCATGGAATGTTTATTAGGAAGCAAATTTCACGGATGGACTTATTGCACAGGTGGCAACCTATTAGGGTACAACACTTGAATTCACTGAGCTCCTGAGAGCGAACCATTCACAAATGTTTGTAGAAGCAGTCTGCATGTCTAGGTGCTTTATTTTATACACCTGTGGCCATGGAGGTGATTAGAACACCTGAATCCAATGATTTTTGTATATATTTATATATATATATGTATATACCCAATTTATATGTGTTTATCCTAAATCCAAAAAAAAACAAATAAAACTATGCACTCCACAGATTAATTCCCATGAATTGATGACATTTACATTTGCACAAGTGTCAGATGCTCATATAAGGCCTTGGTCACATGGGGAGTCCACTGTATTAGGAGTCTCTCTGTGCAGGCAATCTCATTGATGTCAATTGTGATGCAGCAGCTACCCGGGTGCAACCGCTGCTCCCAAATTGACATCCATATGGGTGAAAGTGCATGGCCCTGAACACAGACAGTATGTGTTTGGGGACACAAACCCGCATACCCCTATACCCACACAGATGTCAGATTTGGAGTGATGGCTGTGTCCATGCACTTGCTGTGTCCGAATTGACATCATTGTATCTTGGGGTGCACAGAATACTTGTGCATCCCTGTTCTGGTAAACACAGCCTTACACATGAGTACAGTGAAAGAGGCCTAAATGAATGCAATGTTGTGTGACGTTTTAGCAGTACCAAACTAGTAACAAAAGCCACCATTGTGCCTATCTCCTGGACATAGTTTTGCAGCTTTGGCATGTGTTAATACAACTGTACATATCATCACAACTACTTTGTGTATCCAGGTGAATTAAACCTTGTTTTTTCAGGACAAATTGGGCTTTCATTTGGTGGTAAATGGTAATCGATAAACATTGTTTAAAATGAAGCTGTATATTTCTTGCTATTCTCTGTTCCCATAGTAGGACCCAGAAATAATAGTGCACATTTTGCTTTTTTATCCTACATAAAACACTTTGCAATTGATACTAATTTTAAAAATGTTTTTTTTAAACCTACCTGACAAAATCTGACCCTGACCTTCACATTTGACTCTGACCATGACCTTTGACCCAAATCTTGCAATAGATCAAACCCAAATCTCGCCATATTATCTTTACTACTTTTACACACTTCTTTGTTTACAATTTTCTTCTCTAGGAAGGAGAACACCATACAATGTATTTTTTCTCCATTCGAGAAGAGAAAACAACTCTGGGCTATATACTGACTGATAACTGTGATAGCCAATCATAGGCTATCACAGCAATCAGGTGATCTGGAACCAGGCCTCTCAGTTCCCAATTGTTAGTACAAAACCCCAGGACTCACGGTGAGAACCTAACCTCTGTGCTGAGAGTGTGCTGCGCAGCACGCTCCCAGTACAAACAAACAGAAGTACAGTGGGGATCGAAAGTTTGGGCACCCCAGCTAAAAATTTGTATTAATGTGCATAAAGAAGCCAAGGAAAAATGGAAAAATCTCCAAAAGGCATCAAATTACAGATTAGACTTTCTTATAATATGTCAACAAAAGTTAGATTTTATTTCCATCATTTACACTTTCAAAATAACAGAAAACAAAAAAATGGCGTCTGCAAAAGTTTGGGCACCCTGCAGAATTTATAGCATGCACTGCCCCCTTTGCAAAGCTGAGACCTGCCAGTGTCATGGATTGTTCTCAATCATCGTCTGTGAAGACCAGGTGATGTCAATCTCAAAGGTTTTAAATGCCCAGACTCATCTGACCTTGCCCCAACAATCAGCACCATGGGTTCTTCTAAGCAGTTGTCTAGAAAACTGAAAATAGTTGACGCTCACAAAGCTGGAGAAGGCTATAAGAAGATAGCAAAGCGTTTTCAGATGTCAATATCCTCTGTTCAGAATGTAATTAAGAAATGGCAGTCATCAGGAACAGTGGAAGTTAAAGCAAGATCTGGAAGACCAAGAAAAATATCAGACAGAACAGCTCGCAGGATTGTGAGAAAAACAATTCAAAACCCACGTTTGACTGCACGATCCCTCCAGAAAGATCTGGCAGACACTGGAGTTGTGGTACACTATTCCACTATAAAGAGATACTTGTACAAATATGGTCTTCATGGAAGAGTCATCAGAAGAAAACCTCTTCTACGTCCTGACCACAAAAATCATCGTTTGAACTTTGCAAATGAACATATAGACAAGCCTGATGCATTTTGGAAACAAGTTCTGTGGACCGATGAGGTTAAAATTGAACTTTTTGGCCGGAATGAGCAAAGGTACGTTTGGAGAAGAAGGGGGCACAGAATTTAATGAAAAGAACCTCTGTCCAACTGTTAAGCATGGGGTTGGATCAATCATACTTTGGGGTTGTGTTGCAGCCAGTGGCACAGGGAACATCTCACGAGTAGAAGGAAAAATGGATTCAATAAAATTTCAGCAAATTTTGGATGGTAACTTGTTGCCATCTGTGAAAAAGCTGAAGTTAAAGAGAGGATGGCTTCTACAAATGGATAATGATCCTAAACACACCTTGAAATCCACGGGGGATTACATCAAGAGGCGTAAACTGAAGGTTTTGCCATGGCCTTCACAAACTCCTGACCTCAACATAATTGAAAATCTATAGATAGACCTTAAAAGAGCAGTGCTTGACAGACAGCCCAGAAATCTCAAAGAACTGGAAGACTTTTGTAAGGAAGAATGGGCAAAGATACCTCAAACAAGAATTGAAAGACTCTTGGCTGGCTACAAAAAGCGATTGCAAGCTGTGATACTTGCCAAAGGGGGCAGTACAAAGATATTAACTCTGCAGGGTGCCCAAACTTTTGCAGACGCCATTTTTTTGTTTTCTGTTATTTTGAAAGTGTAAATGATGGAAATAAAATCTAACTTTTGTTGACATATTATAAGAATGTCTAATCTGTAATTTGATGCCTTTTGGAGATTTTTCCATCTTTCCTTGGCTTCTTTATGCCCATTAATACAAATTTTTAGCTGGGGTGCCCAAACTTTCGATCCCCACTGTATGCATTTAGAAGGCCTCATGGATAAAGACCTACCTCTGTGAGGCTGCATATATGTGTACAATCAACAGAAAGGGGTTAATATACCAAACAATTGGTCAAAAGTACACAAAAGTACTTCTTAATCAGTACTTTTTTTCTTTAGGCTGCAGTAGTATAGAGGCTGGATGAAAGCCTAAGTGAAGTAAGAAAAAACTTTTTTATTTATATTTTCAGATTTATATGTTAACCTAAAAACAGAGCTAATGGATAACTTTGTTCCAAAAGGAATAGTTCCTTCAAATGAGAGACAGTTGGTAGCTATGCTGTTGTTGGTCTGGTGATTTCTGAGTGAGTTTGAACATTTTCAGGTGTTCTGGGGTGTTTATTTATATTTGCATAGTATAACCCCCGGTCCACATATATGCGGCCGTGCGGGCCACGTTTTGCATGGGCACGACAGCCCATTCATTTGAATGGACTCTCGAGGGAAGAAGTCCCTGCACTTCTTTGGAAAACGCAGCCCACACGGGAATCTCGGTTCCCAGTACAGTTGCATTTTCCAGTGGGAAGCAGCGTGCCATTCGAACTTATGACACCCATCCGCGGGTCTGCATTTCTCCGAATTTTCGTGTGGAATCCGCAGCGGCACCACCCGCACAGATGTGAACCTAGGGTCAGTGTTGAGCTTGACAGTTGTGTTATATTATACATATCCTGTTTGATGTGGGATACCCAGATGACTATGAAAGGTTCTATGCATTGTCAAACAAGCCTGTATGGGGTATGTAGTCAGCCTGAGAGTGGATAACAGACAGCAAATCATATCATACACAACAAATGAGACCAGTGCAGCTCTGTATACAGGAAACATGGAAACTCTTAGGGACAGAGCTATCAAGGGTTTTGTGTCAAATATTTAATCAATGTAAATGCAAAAACAGCTGTGCTTAGGTTTCAGTAGACCTTTACTGCTTGTACCCCCTATTCACATTACCTGATTTCAGTTTTAATTTGAATTTTTATATAAAATGTAAAGTAACTGAATAAAAAAGATTTTATGCACTTTCATCAATTGCATTTTATTGTATGTTTTTTTATTTTAAAGTCATGTTTTTAAAAAATGGAGCTAAAAGAGAAAAGGTATTATACCCAACTTTCCCGCTCCCATGTAATGTACAGCATTGAACACTTCCAGGAGTGTTGAATACGTGTGTTACACAATGCACTTTAGTTCCATTCTTCAACTCATACTGCAATGCTGCAGTTCTGTAGGGATGTAGATTTCAGAAGAAAAAACTAGTGTAAAAGGCAGGGGACACAGGCACTTGAATAACAATAGTTTAGATGTAAAGAGTCTCCTTTTACTAGAAATAGGAACTTTAGTCCTGAGATGTTTAAAGTTCCTGATGTGATAGTAGCCATTCTGCTAGTAATGGTGGGGCCCCTATACATTAGTTAATAGTAGTCATTTAATGAAGTTAACAGACTGTGGTAATTCTCAAAGCAAAGATCTCTTGGTAATGTGGTGTAAGGTGTGTGGATGCAGAGTCTGCAGAGAGTTGTCAGAAAGAGGCTGCGCATCTGCCTGCTCACCAATTCAGAGATGACTGGATAGTGACAGAGATGCAGAGAAGATGGATACGATCCTGGGCTGGTGATTGGCATCACAGTTGTGCTGAACTGTTATGCAGAGTCCCGCAGTGGTAACAAGCAATCTGTTTCTGGAGGAGAACAGCAGCCCCCCTGTGTTCATCTCTGCAATCCAGTTCCTTGCTATGGAATATATCTGCTCTCCCAGCATCCTTCTCATTTCCCTGCTTTCTGGTTATTGTAGTTCAATCAGCACTCAGAAATACAGTATGTGTTGGTAATAGGACTACCAAGGTCCCAGGATCCTCTGCTGTCAGACAAACTGGATTCACTCTGCTAACAGGAAGTGATGTAGCAGTCCCAGTACTGGGCACCAGGGGAAAAATTGATTAAATCAGAATCTAATTTGTAAATGTCCCAAAATGGCATA